CTCGCAGCGCCAGCTCTGGCTGCCACTGCTTGCTTTCTCGCAGCGTCAGCTTTGCCTGCCACTGCTTGTCTTCTCTCACGGCCTGATCCCTACGGTGTAGCTGATCGAGACCCTGCTTTCCCCGCGCTCTGTCCGCGGCGCCGCATCGGCTTGCGCCCCGGTGTGCCAGGAGGTGGAGGAGGGGAAGGACGGAGGGGAGGAGGGGGCGGAAGGGAGTGGGCATCCTGGCAGCTGCGCGGTCGCCTGGTCTCAGCATGGTAGCTGATGACGTTGGGCTCCGCGCTGCTTCTTCGTGACGGCTCGGGCGCGCAGCGCCACTTCGAAGTTGGCGCGCCGCATCGTCCAGGAGGCACGGTGCAGGGGGGGGCCGCTCGGACGCGAAATGGCTGAGGAGGGTGAGGAGGAGGAGGAGCAGGAAAATGATGAGGAGGACGAGGAGGAGGAAGAGGAGGAGGATGGGGAGAAGGAGGAGGAGGGGGAGGAGGAGGAAAAGGAGGCGGAGGAGGAGGAGGTGGAGGAGGAGGAAGAGAAGGATATGGGTCAGCGCGGGAGTCCGCGCATTCCCATGCAAGCCTTGTGCGGTTTCAGGGGGATCTCTTTACATTGCTGGTGGGCGACTACGAATTTAAGCCGTATGCGTGCAATATTTGTATATGTATACAAGCATGTACGTGCTATCGCGCACACATGTATGTATGTATGTATGTATGCAGTTATTCATATATTTACATAAGCATGCATGTGTTGCATATATGTTGTGTATGATAATGATTATGTATATGCGCTTATACATACACATGTATATGCGTGTATGATTGTACATACAATTAGCCATACATAACACGATGTATGTACATATGCTTACGTACCTGTATGTCTATGCTTGTGAATTTGCGTATGTATATGTATTATGAATGTGTATACATATTTATATATATATAGATATATATACATGCTCCTATATATGTATAGTTGCTTATGCATATATGTTTATACATTCGCATCCAGTTCATACGTATACGCATGTGTATACCTATAGGTATATGTATGCGTTTATGTGTATGCAGATGTATATATAGATGTAAGCGTATAGGTCGATGTACATTCGCATGTGTATGTATGTTGTTATGTTTGCGTATTTGTACATGTAAACGTTTACATCGGTATTTGTGTCCTTAGTTGTACATGTATATGTAGTTGTATATACATATGTATATGCAGTCGTATATGTATATGCGCATGTGTATGTACACGCATATGTACATATACGTCTACGTGCATGTACATTCCCATGTCTAGGTATACGCATATATTCATGTACGTGCATGTGCATATGTATTTGTAAACATAAATGTCTATGTATATGTCTTTTTATATGTACATGTGCATCTGTACACGTACATGTAAATGTTCATGTGCCTGTTGATGTACATGTATACGTTCACGTAGCTGTGTGTGAACATGTGAATATTGTGTACACATGTATATCTGTGCATTCATGCGTTGATGTTTATGTATGTGTACATGTATTGGTATATGTATATGTTTGTGTATATGTATAAGTATGTGTATGTGTATATGTATGTGTACATGTCTATGTATTTGTACATGTACATGTAGCCGCATCGTCATGTGCGTATGTATATTCGTATGTAGATGTGTGTATATATGTATACGCGTGTGTAATGTCCAAAACCTGTTGACAATGCTGATCCTCCTCCCTCTGGATCCCGAGTATTTTTTTTCGCCCGCCGATGCAAATATTCCGCGAGAGCCGAGGGATGCGATTGATAACTACGCGCATGTATGTTTGTATACATATATGTGTATACACGCGTGCACGCGCATGCATTGGTATATGCGTGAGAACTGTATGCGTGCAGATGTGCAGGCAGCTTTGGTCGACGAGTCGGTCGTTATCGTCTTACTGGGACACAGTACGTATGTACGCGCGCGACCGCGCGCGTGCGCGCGGTGGCGTCCAGTTTTCGCGCTCGGTAATCTTTGGTGCCTGAAGGGCCCAGCGCCACCCCGCGCGTCTCCTGGGGTTTTCAGTCCAGATCACGCGTTTGGCTCTCGCATCCAATGCGGCCAATGCCGCCGGGCCGCTGCCGGCGCGGCGGCCTCCGCAACCGAACCGTTGCGGCCTTGCCCTTCGCGGAGTGCGCTTTGTCCCACACAGACTGGGCCAGAACCGCCGCGCATCCTGCGTGCATGTCCCTCGCGCGTGGTCTGTGTTCCCCACAAAGAATGGAGCAAGGCCGCCGCGCGCGCGGCGGCGTTTTCTGGGCGACAGTGAGGGAAGGTGTGCATGGAGTGGTTCCTGAGCACGGGTTCGATCCACTCCACGTCGCAGGGCGTGTCAGGTGTAGTACGTTCGCGACCCAGAAAGGGTGCGCAGGGGGTGGTCCTTGAGCGCAGTCTCTATCCATGCCGAGTTCGCAGGGAATGGCAGGCGCTACCTGGCGCCAAGAGGGGGTGCGCAGGATTCCGCCCCTGCGCGCGGGGCGGCAGGGCGGTCGCGGGGACGTCTTCGGCGGTCTGGTTTCTCCCGTTTTTTTTTTTTTTTTTTTTTTTTTTTTTTTTTTTTTTTTTTTTTTTTTTTTTTTTTTTTTTTTGGTTTTTTGCTTTCTATATGCGCACTGTATCGCTACGAATTACATGTTTCCAATTGTACACCCCAGATTGTTCTGTGTTTGTTTGAAAGCAACACATATTTGTACATGGTATGTATATGTATATGCACAATTTCATATGCGTATGCTTATGCACAGGTATACGTTTGTGTATAAACAGATGTTTCCGCACATACACATGTGTATGTGTACGTGCGTGTGTGTATATATACACATATGATTATTTGCGTATCAGTGTCCATACGCATACGTGTATGTCTATGCGTATGCATGCGTGTATGTATGTTTATATATATACATGTATATATGTAGTTGTTCCTGCGTAAATTTACAATTTATACATAAACTTAATATATATATGCGGATACTGATGCCAATGTCTTTGTACATGCATGTGTTTGTATTCAGGTTTGTCGATGTGTTGACAATATTGATGTACGTGTATTTGCTCATGTTCATGCGTATGCACTTTCATATGTACATGTCGACGTTTGTGTATTTTGCACATCTACATATATACCGGTACAGGCGTTTATTTTGTTAGTGTATATGTATGTGCATGTGCATATGCAATTACATGTGTACAATATATCTGTGTATGTACATGTATATGGGTATGCATACGCGTATGTCTATGTATGTGAGTATAGCGCTTTATACGTGTATGGATATATATATAATATATATATATATATATATATATATATATATATATATATCTATATGTTCTTATGCATACATGCATGTGTTTATAGGTATTCGTGTATACAAATGTCTACATGCGTGTGTGTATATATATGTATATGTGTATGTATGTATGTATGTGTATATATATATATATATATATAAACGTTCGTTTTCTGTATTTGCGTATGTGCGTGGGTTTGTATGTTTTCGTGTATCATTGGATGTATATGTATATGATTATTCATATGCCAATTGACATTTATATGTATATGTTAGTGTATATACAAATTCCGCATATAGGTCATGTGTATATGTGTATGCATATACATACATGTGCGTTATTGTGAAGATTTCTATGTACATGTTGATGCATGTGCATCTATGCATTTATATGTTCATGTAGGTGTGTGTACGTGTATGTATACGTATGTGGATTAGTAACACCCCGTGCGGCAAAACACCGCGTTTCTGTGGTTTCTGGCAGCGCTTATTTGGCCGAACGTTGCGGCCGTAGCTCGGTCAAGCTGTCGGACCACGCGCTCCCTCAGCCGTTGTGGAGACCTTTCGGGGGACATTTTTGGGAGGAGCGGGGGAGGATCAGGAAAGGGAGCATGATGAAAGCGAGGTGGAACCTCCTGGGGCCTTTTCGTGTCCCCTTTGAGGCGATCCGGGACCGTCTTGGAGCAAACTTGGGTCGTGTTGGGGCCGTGTGGGACATATCGGCCGCCTTGGAGGACATGCTGAATCGTTTTGGAGACCACGTAGGGCAACCGGTGCCGTCTTTGAGGTCATCTATACCGTCCCTTTGAGGCCATATTGGTCGTCGTGGAATCCATCTTGGGCCATGATTCAATCGCCGTTTTGGCTGCCATCTTGGAGAGTCTCGGGGCCCTCTGGGGCGTCGCGGGACGTCTTGGGGCCATCTTGGAGGCTTTTCGAGCCGTGGGGCTCGAAACGGCAGGGTGTATACTCATTGAGAAGTGCCCCTATCCCTCCCGATCCCCCCCTTCGTGCCCCCCTTTTGTGGCCCTCCATGATGAGCCCCAAACGTTGCCCCCGCATGGGGGAGGGGAGTCCAGAGTCCACCTCCAGAGTATATCCCATATCCACGGCCTCGGAGTCGCGGCCAGAATCTGGACGTCCTCTCGAGGAATTGTGGATGTGGACATGTGTCCTCCTTCGAGGGCGGGAACAGGATCTAGGGCCATCTTTCCTCAGAGGTCGGCAGCCGGCGAAGGCAACTCGATGGAGGCAGTTCCGAATGAAGGACGGGGGGGAGGTAGGGCAGTCTGGCAGGGCGGGCTACCGCGACGTCGCGACCCCCCCCTTTCCGTCGGAAAGTCCCCATCCCTCAGTGGTGGGCAGCAGGAGGAGGAGGAGGAGGAGGAGGAGGAGGAGGAGGAGGAGGAGAAGGGGGAGAAGAAGGAGCGCTACAACAGTTGCTCGCCCGAAACCAACCAACTCGATAAATCATAGCAGCATGCGCATGATTTGCTCGATCATGTTGGCTAAACATGGGTATATTTGACACCATTCCATACCAAACAGTTGATTGGCTAAGCGTGGGCATACTTGACATCATTCCATACTAAACGATTGTCCTTCCCAGCCTCTTTGAGCTACACTTTCATGTTGCCCGACGCTTTGAATTCTAGATGCTTCGCGTAACCCCACCAGGTTGTTGAGCAGTGGGAGCCGCTCGACACATACTGGGGAGGGGATGTCAACCTACAACTTGAGCACCCAAGAGACGGAGAGTTAGAGGCAGCCGCCCTCCTGAGGGACATCCTGACCAGCTCCGGCTCGGCTGCCGTGCACATGCATGGCCCCACTAGAATTGACAAGGATAGTGAGTCCCAGATTGACATGTGTGCCTGCCCAGTCAGCCATATTTACGCTTACGAGCCCTGGAAATCCTGGAGGCTCACGCTGTCAGACCACGCTCTCATATCGCTCGAACCCCAGGGCGCGAGGAGGGCAAGAAGGGATGACACCATGAAAGCCGCAGACCTCAGGAGCCTCCCAACCGCGGCGCACGTGGAGCTCCGACAGCTGTACGCTCACCTTGAACTCTCCTTTGGTGTACCGCCCGTCAACCTAAGCGGCCTCATCCAACCCACCGACTGGATTAGACCTGCCCGCCCAGGTGGGTTCCCCGACCAACACCCGGACAACGATGACGGTGACACCTCCCGCAATCCCACCGACCCGACACACCATGTGCCAAGAGAGCCAAGTGACGACGAGCCCACCCCGCCCATCCTCCCCACCCTCGGCAGGCACGCCCTCTCCTCGGCTCTGCATGACTGGTGGAAGAAGTGGAAGGCACACAGAGCGCGAACTTCCCCAGGCCTGCTGCTCGCCGCAGCCAGTCAAAAACAAGAAACGACGCGCCCAGTGGGAGCCCTGGCAGCCTGGTTGTACGAGTACGGGTGGGACGGTCAGGACCTAACCCCAGAGCAAGCGGGACGGTGGCTCAGAACCTGGGACGCCGAGGTCACGCAGAGAAGAGCTGCCCGGCGTCCCCCTGCACAAAGAGGCCCAGTAGCTGAACGGTCCCCCCTTGCAGCCCACTACAGAACTGGGCGGGAGATATACAAGAAGACCCACGCAATCCTAGGCGTCCGGGACCGCAATGGCACATGGCACGACAGGCCCAACCAGATTGACAACGTCTTTTGGGACAGTCGCAGTGCAATATGGCACTCCGCCCCCCCCCCTACCTGGCTCAGCTGGCAGGCTCCTTGATTTCTATCTCCAAGGACACCCTGGGATTGACATCTCCAGCAGGCCTAGACCCAGGTGGGCCAAGCTTGCTTCTACCGTCCTCACACCCAGCGGGAGCGCCCCGGGGGTGGACGGGATACCCTACGAGGCTTATCATCCCGGGGCGAGGTTCGTCGCCTGCCTCATTACCCAAGCATGGTACGCTGCGGACCTCAATCCATCACTCATCGAGGAGGTGCTAGGGCCCTCCGTGGACCTCTTGGTATGGATAAGGAAAAAGCCTGGCGCGGAAGGTCCCAACGACATGAGACCGTTGCAACTCCCCACATGCATTCGACGACTATACGGTGCATCCCTGGCCGACCTTCTTGGCCCAGCCGTCGAGCCGCTTCTGAGCTCCAACCAGGCTGCCAAGCGGGGAGGCCAATGCGGCCCCAACATTACTAAGGTTACCCGGCGCTTGAGCTCTACCCCCAAGCCACCAGAGGCGCCAGGTCCCGGATGGGCTGCGCTCCTCGGACAACACGCAGCAATGGTGGAGGACTTTGTCGAACATACTGCGTCCGCGGTGGGTGGCGCTCCGTGTGCGGCGGTGATCTTCTGTGACCAGAATAAGGCTTTCTAGCGAATATCACTTCAATGAGCAGACAGCCTCCTCCTGAGATGGAAACTTCCCTCGTGGCTACTGCGCTCGCTCAACTCTTTGGTAGCTGAGCGAAGAGTGATGACATGCAAGGGGAAATACAAAGGCCCTGAACGGCGCCTGCTGAGGTCAGTTGGCATGGGGGTACCGCCTCTTCCCTCCTGTGGAGCTTGGGGTATGACCCTCTCATCGCCGCCATCTCTTCCATCTCTGGGGACGACGACCCGACTTACGTTGACGACCTCGCCGCTCTGCTCAGCACAACGAGGCAAGCGCTACGCGCTGCCATCGCCCTCCCCTGGGCCGCCAAGGCCGCTGGTCTCCTGGTCGAGGCGCGCAGATGCAGGGGTATGCGCACTGAGGACTCCCCTGCCCTCCGTGCTGCGCTGGGGGAAGTCCCCGTTCACTTCGAACGAGACGGGGGCAGCGTGCTCATCTCAGGGCTACCAGGAGACCTGATCAAGACACTCGTGGAAGGCAACGCAGGAAGCCGAGGCCCGATCCGGTGTTCACCCTACCAACACGTCTGCAAGTGCACCTTCAAGACAGCACTCGTCCCGGCTGGCAACCAAGATTGGTGGCGCACCCTTATTGGACACACCCCCTTCGGAGGCTCGTCGGTTAGAGATCAATGGCCCTACTTGGGGGCAGTGGTGGTGCCACGGGCTGCAGAAGGCGACGACCCTCCACGGAACGGGGGACTCACCAAGGAGCAGGAGGACGCCCTATGCAAGGGCATGTGGGACCGCCCCCTTCCTAAAATTAGGGGGGGAGAGCCCTTGCTTTGCACCTGGCCAAAATGCCCCCATCGCGCACGGCCGCGGCCTGGAACGCCTACCTGATCTCCCTGGCCCCCTACGCCGCGCACTGCGCCCCCCCCCCGACGTAGGGCGAGAAAGTGAACTACGGGCTCAACTGAGGACTGCTCTCGGGTTGGCTGGGGCCTCTTGGGTCCCTGACTTAGTGCTGACCGGGCTGGGCATCCGCTTCCAAGTGCAGGGCGCCCCCAGGTGCCCTGTTGCGACGGCCCGCGCGGTCGCAGCAAGAGCATTCGCACTCAACGACTTCTGGGGGCCCAGTACCGTCAAAAAACGAGCTGGCATCAGATGGAACAAGCTGCTGAAATGGGGAGCCCGCGCAGCACGGATGCCCGAGACATTCCCCCCGCGACCCAAGATGGTCACCGAACGAAATGCCGCCCAGGCCCTGCTCCTCACGAGACAACAACCCCACCTACTGGAAGGCAGACACTTCGGCAGGATCACCTACACGGCGGCTTGGGCCCAAATGAATAGCCGACACTTCACAGAGTGGTTCCAGAACACCGGCCAAGGAAGAAGATGGCAGCCCTCCAGAGGGGGGGAATGGCAATTGCTTCGCCGCTGCCCCACCTTCACCGCGGCACATGACGTGATGGGGATCCTTTGCAACGGCCTTCCTGGCTCGGCAAGACGCATGGGGAGACGACGAAAGAATGCCCCGCAGGTGTCCCTGCGGGGCGCCGGCCAGCAAAGTGTGGATCACCGCCGGCCCGAACGGCGAGGGGGCGGCCTGGTGTGCAAGATGCGTCGGCACCGGCCCACGCACCTTCGCCCTCTGGCAAGCCCTGCCCCCCGACATGCTCCCACTCCCTCTAAGGGCTCAGGCTGACGCATATGTAAGTACGGGTGGGCGCCTACGACCACCCGTCAGAATAAAGCTCTATGGGCGTTGCCCGCTCTGTGGGCTGGGTGAGGCGACCGCAGAGCACGTCTGCCATTGGTGCCCAGCAGCCGCCCTTGTCTGGGGCGCCATGCGGGGGCCAGACGACCCGCCAACCGTCGCCCAAGCCATTGCCAGCGAGGGCGAGCATCAGCCGTTACTCGCCAAGATTCTACATCAGATCTCCTTCAGATACTGCGTCAACCTCACAGCCTCCCCCCTCGAAGCAGGTGACGCCGCCAGACTCATCGTGCGCGGGTTGGCCACCCTCGACGCTGATCATCGCGAGGAGAGCGATGAAGAGGAGCACATGGACAACGAGCCCCCAAGGATTAGCAGTCCAGACGAGACAGCCGTGTGGACCGCCCTGCGGGACACATGTCGCACGTGCAACCCCTGTCCCGCCCCCGCTGGTTCGGTCTGCGGTGCTGCCGGGCCCCACTTACAGCGACGCGCGGGCAGGGCAGGAGGCGAGATCCGCAGGCTCCCGAGTGTCACCAGACACCACAACCCAGAGGACAGACTAGTGGTTTTGCAGTCCCCCCACACCCGGGCTGCATGGATGCCTCCGGGCAGGGCAGAAGCTGGTTCCCTTGCCCAAGGACGGACAGCTTCCCCACTGCCAGCTGGTCGTCCATCTTCTGCCGGGAGTGCAGGCTCCGCACTACCGCGCTAACGGCCAACGCGAGACTCGAGCCCGGCGACGAGGTCACTGTGCGCGGTTCTCCCTTCCCCGACTCCGACTCTACCCAGTGGCCGTGCGAGGTCACCTTCGGCGGAGGGGCAAGAACCATTGAAAACGGTGAAAAGGTGTCGGGCGCCGGGGCCATCCTCTGGCACCGCGACCCCAACACCGGGTCACCCCAGGTACTCGCCATAACCATCGTTGCACTCCCAGATTGCAGCAATGCTCAGATGGCAGAGGTAGCAGGCTGCCGTGCCGGGCTGGCGCTGCTCCCTCACCTAGATAGCCCAACCCGCATGGCTCGGATTGTGGGCGACAGCCTAGCAGCCGTGAGATATGGGGCCGGCGCCGCCAGATACCGAAGGCTCCACCTGGCTCAGTAGATGGAGGACGCCTTAGGACAAGTTGAAAGTGCGGGGTGGGTCCTCACGTGGCAGGCCGTCAGACGCAGGTTGAATAAAGCTGCTGATAGCCTGGCCACCATTGGGGTTTACTGGGCGGACTCCCTCCGCAGGGAAGGCGTTACTGCTGTCACCTCTCATATACAGTGGAATGGTAACACCCCCTCTCGGCCAGTGCACTTTCCCGACATCGATCTTCGGGAAGCCAGCCTCTGCGACCCTATCGCGGCAGCAGAAGCTGCTCACCTGCTCATGCACCCCCCCTCCGCTTCCCTTTCTGCCCCGCTTCGATCCGATCGTCGAGCGACTGATCGTCGCAACGTTTGAGTTCCCGTCGCGGTGGCTCAAGATTTCCCCCCGTTTACCCATTTGCCTGTTACGCAGCTATCGGCCGCGCTCCCCCCCTACGTTCCAGCAGGATGCCAAAGAAGAAGAAGAGTAACAGCGGGTCCCTGGCAAGATGGCCTTCCCCCGTCCAACACTGCGAGCAAGGTCCCAGCGCAGAAGGCTCTCCGACCTTTCCGTGCTCGGGAATGTCTATGGCTCAGATGGGCACATTTCAACCACCGGTGGTGCTGGCGGTGAGAGATCTGCCAGAAGTACTGCGACGGCAAGGAACGGACCACTTCACAGAGGCCGTGAAGCGGAAGGGAACCGGGTGGCCAGACCCCAGAGTATACACTCAGCAAGGCAACCTCTGGACCAGGACCCAAGGATCGACCGCAGACAGCGTGACAGGTCTCAAAATCGAGA